ATAAGTCACAAAACTTATCATTGACAGAGTAACAACTTGAATCAGGTATCTTTGACTCTCAAGCCCAGTATTTGTTTATTTTCTAACCCTATGGGCTTATCTTATTAAAAGAGCATAGGCTTTGCAGTAAGATAGACCTGAGTTTAAAATTCCCCTTAATAAATATGTGGCATTGGACAAGTTATTTCAATTCTCTGAGTTTGTTTCCTCACATGCAAAAAGAGGGGAATTAGATTTCTTTTAGAGAATGGTAAAAAGAAATAACTTAATATTTGTAATGTACCTAATACAGTACAGAGCAAAATACTCAGTAAACAGTAACTATTAGTGGTTCAGTGCCAAAATTTGTGCATTGGGGGGAGTGTCCCTCAGCCCAGCCTGCACCCTCTCCAATCTGGGACCCCTCAAGGGATGTTCGATTACTGGTTTAAGTCCAATTACACAGGGCAGTCAGACATCCCTCTCACAATCTGGTACCACTGGCTCTTAACCGCTTACTTACCTGCCTGCCTGATTGACCCTAACCACTCTGTCTGCTGGCCTGCTCACCCCCAACTGTCCCTTATTGCTGGCCTGATGGCCCCCAACTGCACCCCCCCCAGCCAGCCTAATTGCTCCCAACTGCATCCCCTGCTGGCCTGCTCACCCCAAACTGCCAACCCTTGCTGGCCTGATTGCCCTCAACTCCCCAACTCCCTTGCTGGTCTGCTCGCCCCAACTGCCTTCCTCTCCTGGCCTTATTGCCCCTGTCTCTGCCTTGGCCTTGCCACCATGGCTTTGTCTGAAAAGACGTCCAGAAGATCTTCCAGAAGGTCTCCTGATCTAATTAGCATATTACCCTTTTATTAGTATAGACTAGTGGCCTGGTGCACAAAATTCATGCGAGGGGGGATTCCTTCAGCCCAGCCTGCACCCTCTTCAACCGGAGACCACTTGGGGGATGTCTGACTGCTGGTTTAGATCTCAGGCTGCACAAATTTCTTTTGCTGGGCCACTAATGTTAATAAAAGCAGAGGGAAGTGCAGGCACTTGGCTCATTCAGGCAACTTGGGTCTATGGTTCTGATTGATGCATTTGATTAATTGCAGAGAAGGGTAATGTCCAGAGATAAGCCTGGAGAATTAAATTGGAACTGAGTTTTAAAGGGTCTTATAGTGATGCTAAGGATTTTTGAGTCTACTCTAGAGGCATTCATGAGCCACTAAATATCTAAGCCAGGGAATGGTATAATACGGCCTGCCAAGACCTGATCATAGTGGCAGTCATGTGGAAGTTAGGTTGGAAATGGAAGGAACTAGAGGCTGGGAAACCTTTGAGGAGGCTAATAAACATGGTAAGAGATAGGCAGTGGTGGCAGGTTTGGCAAAGATAGAATGGGTTTGAAAAATTATCTAGAGTTGACATGTGAGCAATGAATGATGAGTGAGTTCAAGCATTTTTGGCACAGGAAACAGTAAGAATGATGCTGTTATTTATTGAAATAGGAAAACCAAGAGTAAAGTCAAGTTGGATCTGAGGGACATAAAAAAAAATTAGCCTTTTGGATATGTAGAGATTAAAGTTAATCTGGTATATTTATTGAAGGTAAGATGTCAAATAAGTTTATGAGTCAAGTATGTATCTTCAGCCCAGAAATAGCTTTGAGTCTGGAGCTCACCAGCAGGGCTAGAGTCGAGATACCAAGTTGTGAGTCATCAGCAGGAAATGATAATTGAGTCAGTAGGAATAGAGGAGATCACGGAGGAAAACAAGAATTGAGGGCAACCTTTGCACATTACCTGGCTTGGTGCCTTAAAATGGATTTGTATGTGTGGACTAGTGTCCAATGACTAATAACTTTTAAACACAAGACAGTCTTTTCTCCAGCCCCAATGACTGGGAACACGCCATAGTATTTCATTCTGGAAGATTGATCTGGTTGCCAAGGAAACTTCCTGTAGTTGCAGGGGAGTCTTTTAAAACCAAGTAAGGGCCTGGTCTTCTCTAACATTAGAATTGCACCTGCATAGTTCACCAAGGAGTCCCACCCTCCTTGATCTTAGAATAAGGGGATGATGAAAGAAGCTAAGCTTTCTCCTGTGTCAGGTATGTGGAGCTTTTACTAAATGGGAATTTGTGGAGAAAGTTAAATCCAATATGTCCCCAAGCCTGTTCTGTTATTTGTGAACCACGAGATAGAAATGTGTCATGATTCTTTGTAGTACTGTACTCTAACCAAATTTAAATAAAATAGTGACTCTTAATGTGCATACTGTATCATACTCAATAATAGCTGGCAAAGCAATATTATTGTAGTAGACATGCCACTTATTTTTCTACTTCTACCATATACAGAAAGATATTTGTGCACATTAAATATGAGGCATATAATAAAATTGTTTGTAGTTAGGTCCTAGAAATGACTAGTCCCTCCAGCTCTGTAAGTTCATTCCATTGCCTGGAATCCAGGTGTCAGGATTTGTATTATATACTTATGTTTATAATTTTTAATATTATAATCTTATAGATTATAGGAGACAGTGTTATGTAATGGAAAGAGCATAGGCTTTGGGGCCTGATATGCCCTGGGCTTAAATCCTCGCTTTGCCATTTTCTAGATGAGTGAATTAAATAAGATACCCAATATCACAGTTGGTTTTAGTTTTTTCCCCTAATTTTAAAATGGGGATAATCATAGCATCAATTTCTCAAGATTCTTATGAAGATTAAGTGAGATAATGAATAGGAAATGACAAACTCAATATATTGATACATAGTATTCTTTTTTATTTTTTATTGTTTGAAGTATTAAAATAGTGGTACATATGTCTGCTTTTTCTCCCCCATTGACCTCCCCCCAGCCTCCCCTACCCCCCAGTACGTGCCCTTACCTGCCCCCCTCTCCCCAGTGTCTTTGTATCCATTGGTTATGCTTATATGCATGTGTACAAGTCCTTCGGTTGATCTCTTATGGCCTCCTGCCTTCCTGCTGTAGTAGTATTCTGTTTTTCTCCTTCCTTTAATGAGTTAAGCCAGCATTTTTAAAAATATATTCTGTTGAATTCTATTCCCTCCAAATGCTTTTTAAAAAAAATGCTTATTGCTCAACTTAATTTGTTCAGTCTTGAAGAGAACAGAAATTAACATATTTAACAGTTCTGAGAAGCTCAATCATGAACAATTTTTTGGTTGTGGTTTAACTTTTTGAAAAGCATTTTCCAAATTTATTTTGTCATTGTATCTTTAAAAAAAAAAATGAGGACACCCATTAATAGCCCATGCTTTTAATGGGATACATTTTGGAAAAGATGAGTTTAATAATCAGGTCCAGGTGATATTGGATATCTTTTTGGCTTTATTGAGTATTATAATATCACTAGAAGCCTGATGCATGAAAATGGGTCGGGGGTATCCCTCAGCCTGGTCTGCCCCCTCTCACAGTTTGGGAGCCCTCAGGGGATGTCCTACTTACGGCTTAGGCCCTCTTCTCTGTGGGAAGTGACGAGGCCAATCAGGGGATGGTGCTGCCCCCATCACCCTGATGCTGCTGCCACTGCCACTGCCGACTGCCACAGCTGTGAAGTTTGAGCCCTGGGCCTTGCAGCCAACGGGGCTCATGCTGCCTGAGCCCACGTCTGCTAGAGCTCCAGGCCTCACAGCAGCTATAGCTTTGTCCAGATGGACTTCCTCCGGAAGATGTCTGCTCTAATTATCATATTACCCTTTTATTAGTATAGACGTGGACTAAATGTTGTAGCCCATTTAGAAGTTTTGGATTAGGGTTCGGGAGACTTGAGTTTCCATTTCAGTTCTGCCATTCTTACATTGTCATTAAAAAGACCCATGTGAAAATAGTAAAATAATTTTGAAAATTAAAAATGCTGTCAGTCGAAAGTGGCATAACAACTCTACTAGGAAATTGTAAGAACAGTAATACTAGAATGGGGGTGTCTACAGGTTGAGTTGTGTTGCCTCCTTTTTTCACTGAGCATACTTGAATCCCTTCAACTATCTGCCCGAAAACATTTTCAACTCCTGGGTTTCTTAATAATTAAAAATGATTCTCAGATGCATGTGCCTGAATGTCAGTAGCTCTGTCTTTTGTCAGTGTTTTTGTACTTGCTTACAGAAGCCATTTCCCAGTACATCATGTAGCTATGGCTGTTACTGAGTATTAAATACTGAATTGTAATTCAGATGCACAATGGAAAAGAAGATTGTTAGGATTTATGTAACAGATTTACTTAATAGATTTAATGTTTAGCCTTCTGAGATTGTATAACTTTATGTCTATCTATAATGTATTTCTTTTCTATTAGTATACTTTAAGCAAAGTGAAGTTGCTTTAACTTTAATCTCTTGGGGAAAGGATGAGAAGTCTCTATTACTGTTGTAATACTAGTTTTTTTCTGTGTTTTTTTTTTATTAGTTAGAGTTAATGGAGATAGTTATATAATTCATTTCCTTCCTGTGTCTGGAAAAATTTAGGTTTACTTTGAGTGAACTTTGTAAAACTTTAGAAAGATTAAAACCATGTTTTATGTAGTTTTAAGGTCATCATTTCACACAATGGGGCGTTACACCTCAATATTATGATTATTAGGCTTTTCTATTTTTGAAAATAAAAATGTCCGTTTGTGATTTTTTTTATTATTATTTTAGATGAAATTTTTAGGTCATATTCCCATCCTGAAACTTAGAGGGCTTTAGACACCATTTTTATGGTTTGCTCTTTAAATACTGTGAATACTCATTTTCTAGTTCCACAAAGGGATTCTAGTTTTACAGGAGACTTTTTTCATCATATAAAATAGTATTCCTGGCAACAGAGATAAATGTCATCTTTCATCATAAACAGCTTCTTATTTTACTTGATGTACAGAGGCAGTTTTGACACAAAATTGGCAGAAAATGTTGCATTCCCCCTCTTTTTACCTTTCCTCCCCGCCCCCCCCCCCCTTTTTTTTTGGTCCTGAACTTCTCACTTTACCCTTAAAGTGTAACTATGGGATTTTAGAAACAAAATTAGTAACCTAGTGTTAGTCTCTACAAAATCAGTAAATTGAATTTGAATGTCAGAGTTCTGAAGCTATATGATTAAAGATAAAATGTAAGAAAATACTTAGTGGCCTTTAATTTTTACTGTTTCTATTGCATAATGTTATAGAGAGCATATTAGAATGTTACATTGATTTTTTTTCTTTTTCTTTTTGTCATACTGATTCTGATATCTAAAGTCTTTGGCTTTATCCTTAAGGGATATTATAAGCCATATTTAGAACCATAGAAATACCAACATGAGTTTAGTCAAAATCTGTTGGTTTTATAGTGGGTTTATTAATGTTACCGTCTTTTGTCCGAAAGACCACAATAATGAAAACCATGTTTCACCTTTTACATACATAATTGGATGAGATCACCAGATGCTGATGTTAAAAGCACATCAACAGGAAAAGTTGAAAATGGGAGCTGCATGGAAAAATACTAGAACCAATTACCTCTGTCAAAGACCATATGACCAAGTACAGGGGAGGAAAATAGATTTTGACCATGAACAAACTTCAGGTCATTTAATAATGGAAAGAAACAGCAAGGTGGCCCTTCTTAGAGTTTTTTTAGACTTTTGATGTTAGCAGAAAATAATGTGAAAATTGGTACATCATGGCCAGTGTTTGAAAGCTCATTAGATTAATTTTGGTTTCCTCATATTTTATTATAAATTTCAGACATACAGAAAAGTTGAAAAAAATTGTACTGTGAGCACCTATATATCTACCACTTAGATTCTACAATTAACATTTTGCTACATTTGCTTTATTACATGGCTATCCATGTATTCATTTTTCTGTCCATCAATTTTTCTATCTTATTGCTTTATGCATTTCAAAGTAAGTTGTACACATTCCAGTACGTACCTTCAATTTGAAACATTTTATCATGCATATAATTAACTAGAGCTCAGAATTTATTTATGGGTCTTTTTTTCAAGATAAAATTACATGCAGTAAAATGCACAGATCATAACTGCAGTATGTAATAAGTTTTGACAAATGCATACACTTGTGTAACTAAGAACTTTATCAAGATAAAGAACATGGTAATCACTCCAGAACGTTCCCTGATCCCTCTTCAAAGTCAAGTCCTGCCCTTACTCCCAACTATAAAGGCAGCTACTCTTGGGATATTTTTCATCATATATTAATTAACTTAGTTTGTTTTAGAACTTCATATGAATGGAATCTTGCAGAATGTACTCTTTTGGGGTAAAGCTTCTTTTACTTAGGATAAGATTTTTTAGATTAATATATGTTGTTACATATATCAGTAGTTTATTCCCTTTCATTGGTGAATAGTGTCCATCCTATAGCTTAGTGTCTACTATTGATGGATACTTGATTTGTTACCATTTTGAAGCTATTAATGAATAAAACTGCTATGCTTTTCTTATGTGCAAATACCTGGGCCATAGTGTAGGTATATGTTTAGTTTTGTAAGAAACTGCCAGACATTTTCCAAAGGTGCACCATTGTACACTCCAATCAAAATGTATGAGCATTTTGGCCATTCACACCAACATCTGCTATTGTCAGCCTTTTTAAAATTAAATATTCTTGTGGATGTGTAGCAGTATTTCATTGTGTTCGTTTTTATTGCTTATTTTAATATGTGCTTACCTAATGACTAAGGATGTTGAGCCCCTTTTCATGTGCTCATTAATCATTGGGAAGCCTAGTATCTAGTCCAGAATTAGAGACTTCTGGTTGCCAAAAATCTCTTGCTTAAGGAAGTTAATCACAAGTCCAGTGTCTATAAGGTTCTGATCTTAGGAGATCTGTAGGTTTGCTAAAACAGATTGATCATCACAGGACTGTGGAATGAAGAATAATAGTGTAACCAGTGATAATTATTCTTGTTATACTTGCCGCAAGTTTTACTATGAAAAATTCTGTCCTAAGATCTACTTTTATTTTTGGTCCTGAAGGCTACACATAGCACAGGGCACACCACTAAATTTACAGTAGCCAGTTATGTTTGCGAGTGTGGGAGATGGTTTGGTGGTGGTGGTAGTACATATTTCACTGTTTATAAGAAATGTAGCAGTTTTTCTGGTGATTTTCTTGGAGATCTACCAGATTTCCTTTTCAGCCATTTTTGTTAATCCAGGAGTCAGATGTGTTCATGTTTATCTGCTCAGTGCCCATATTAAGCTGTTACCAATCACACGAACAATGGAAAAAATCTCTAAGAAGGCCAAAGAGATTTTTAACTTCTTAGAAAATGAAAAGTTACCTTTGGAATCTAAGAGCCCACTTCTATTTATTTCAGCCTACTATTTTTTCTAATCTGAATATCCCAATTATGTGTGCTTTTGAGCTTTGAGGTAGCAATATTGAAAATGAAATGAGTTTGTTGATGAAGATTGGTGACTAGATTTATATATTTTTTACTTTACTCTTTTATTTATTGTTACAGAAGAAGCTACTATGGAGGAAACTGGGCCAGTTTTAGCTTTTCAGGATTGTTGTCTTTAATTTACTGGGTTTTATATGTGTCACATAACTGAAGAAAACCTTTAGCTTCATTTGAAATATAGGATAATACCTCATTTTTATTTACTTAACAAAAATTATGCAGTCACAATTTCAGCTAATATTTTCCAATGCCTTAAAAATATAGATGTATGAGTTTTTAAATATAAGTAGATATGTTGGCTGAAGGGTAAATTATGTAAATTTGTTACCATGTTGTAATTACTTTATATGTCCAAATATAAGGCAAGTATTTTCTTTAAGAGTTTTTCAGGAAAAATATTTCAGTTCTTATAAAATCTCACCTATACTATTTGTTCTTTTAGTCATTATATTTTGAAAACAACAACAACAACACTATATGGGGAAAATATATTCATTTGAAATGATCTCAGTCATTCATGGTTTGCATAATTATGGAAGTCACCTGACAGAATCAGTTAAAAAAAAAAAAGCAAATTTAATATAAATTCAGTTTTTCCCCAACAGTAGGGGGTCTCATTACTTTAAATGTTCTATATCATTGTAAATATTTTAGAGCTTATTTAAAGTATAGTAATTGGGGCAGTTGGGTATGTCATGGAGTTTACCAATTTTTTTTTAGTTGGATTTATAAAAAAAAATTGTCCTAATTTTAGATAAATGGTATATGTGGCTTGAAATGAAATCCCTACTGAGAGCATCATATCATGTAATGATGGAATCAGAAACTGCTGTTATCTCAGAAGATTTTAGGTAGTTCAGAAAGGAAGATGCTGTGTTCTAAAAAATTATATTTAGGTAGTTAAAATAATATAGCTAGGACTTATTAAGCACTTACCATGTGCTAAACACCACCCTAACTATTGTAGTTCTACTGATTAATTTTATGGTGTGGATGACTTAAAAAGTGTTTCTAGTGATGACAAAGACATTGATGTTGAAGATTCAATTAATATTCAGTTTAAATAATATTGTTGCATAGAAATGAGAGTGTGGAGAAACAAGCAATATTTATAAAGTAGCATTTCATGTAATTCAAACTGTATAAGTCAAGGAAGTAAATGTTATAAGTAGACATTATATTCCTACTTATCTATATGCATTAAATAGTCATATATTTATGTTAATCAGAAACCCTTTTTTGATCCTTAATCTTGGGAAGTATATGTGAGGGTCTTCTGATATTGAAATATATTTAGTACTTCCATGAAAAATTTAATCTAGGTTATCAGAACAACAACAAAGTACCCCGCTTGTCTGAATGGAAATTTTTTTGTGACTAAAGGGATATAAAAAATAAATTTTGGTAATGGATTAGATTTATTAAAATAAAAATATTTTCCTAGACATTTATTTTACATTTCATTCCCTTTAGCATCTTGACTCAGTCACTTGTATCCTTTTCCCCTTCACTCTCTGTCAGTTCTTCTTTTTAGGCTGCTAACCACATGTCTGCACATTCAAAGTTCCTGTACCTCCTCTTCTACTTAATAATTGCATTTGATTATAAGAAATCTCTGCCTCTACTTTTTTTCATTTTAAAACGTTAAATTCAAGATAATGAGGCTTTTTAAAATTAAATTTGTTGGGATGACATTTATTAATGTCATATAGGTTTCAAGTATACATTTCTATGATATATGACCTATATGTTGGATTGCTCACCATCCAAAGTCAAATCATCTTCCATCACCATATATTTGACCCCCTTTACCCTTTACTACCTCCTCAAACACCCCTCCCTTTGGAAACAGCCATACTATACAACAATGAAACTTTTAAGAAATAACTATTGCCCTACTTTAGAAAATCTCTAAGTTTAGAAATTTTCTGAGGTGAATTTACTTAAAACAAAGGATATTGTAGTTATATTTCACTACTAGTTTTCTGGGTATATATAATATATCCTTCAACTTTTTTCTCTGAGAGATTTGTGTCAAATAGATTAAAAATTTAAACAGATTAAAAATTGATCTTTGACATTTGGGAAAGGTATGTCTTGACATCTTCAAAAAATCCCCTGTATTCAAATATTGCTGTATCATATTTTTTCCATAAAATATAAGTAGGAATTATTGGAAATTTTAAAGGATTACTTTCAATTCTTAGTGATAGTTTACATACTTTATTATACTTTCTTATTTTTATTATACTTCTTATTGATATTTTTACATAAAATATCAAGAGATTGATTATTATTGTTGACTAGAGGCCCAACACACGAAATTTATGCATGGGTAGGGTCCCTAGGCCTGGCTGGTGATCAGGGCCTATTGTGGCCTTCCTTTCCCCTGCTGCCAGCTGCTGGCCAGGGCCTTCCTTCATTCTGTGTTGCCCCCTGGTGGTAAGCACATGTCATAGTGAGGGGTCAAACTCCGGGTCGGTTGAACTCCTGAGGGGACAATTTGCATATTAGCCTTTTATTATATAGGATTACTAAAATTACTAATTTTGTTGGGCTAAGTACTTCCAGAAATACTTCTACATATATTCAAAATTTTATATGGCTAGTGATCAACCTTTAGAGATCTAACGATAAAGAGAAAGAAGTAATTTTGAACTTGCTATTTTGACAAAATGTAAAAACTTTATTATTAATTAGTAATTAAAACACATAGGCATGATTTTCAGCAAATGGAGAATTAATTGTCCTAGTTTTTAGCAATGTCAAAGCAGCCATGTCTAGATGGCTGCATCAAAATATCAAATATCCTGATAGAAATCTGTCAACCAGGCCTACTTTTGATAGGATAGATTTTATACATTGTTTTTCTTTCTTTCCTTTGAAGTTAGCACACTAGGCTACTAGAGTCACTTCAGTGACTCTGAAGTGATACCCATCTTTGAGTTTTGATGGGATGAAAGAAAAAGCATGAGTTTATTAAAGTACAAATTTTCTCAAAAGAGTAGAGGTTCAGATTGCTCAATTAATTAATTTTTTTCATTTTTATATTGTTTAGGAAAAGAGTGACATTGTAAATGAAAGCCCAGCATGGCAAGAACAGATCCTTCTAAATGAAGAAGTCATTGCTCTTAGCAAGTTGGACAAAACCATTCAACATGTGGAAGTGTTTTGTTATGCCAGGTATGAAAATTATTTATTTATATAAACTAAGTTAATGACTTCTTACTCACACTTATGCAGAAGAAGCCAATTATAACATCTTACCTAATAATAGACGAACATGTAAATTGACCATATCTCCACTATGCCCGCAGCCAATTAGAGTGAGTGTGCAAATTAGAAGGCCAAAATGACAACCACCCAGCTGCTTCAGGTGTGGAGTGGCCAGGCGGGGCAGGACACCTATTATGAACCTTGAGAGCTTGTTTGGAGGTTCTAGCAGGGGAGCGCAGCTACTCGTATACCCTTGACCGAAGACCGGTCCTCTCCTCTTGGGGGAAAGTCGTCCTCTTCGACCGAGCGCGCAGCTTCGGGAGGGACGCACATGGATCGGTGAGGGAGGAGGGGGACACCCGCCTAGCCAGCCAGATCAGCCGAATCAACCCTGGCGATCAATGGGGTGACAGATGTCGCAGCCAGATCGCCCTCACATCCTAGGACACCTATTATGAGAGGGAGGGCAAGGGAGCGAAGGGATCTACAGGAGCAGAGTGCCGCAGCAAAAACAAGACTGCAGACTCCAGAGTCTGCAGCGAAGATAAAGATGGCAGACTCCAGCCTGAGTCTGCAACAAAGACACAAAGAACGAAGATGGTAGACTCTGGCCAGAAGGAAGGCCTGGGTCCTGGGTGCTGAAAGAAAACTGTTGTTGGAAGCCCAGGGAAGGAAGGCCTATTGCATGAATGTCTTCGTGTAACGGGCCTCTAGTTTATATAGAATTGGTTGCTATATTTCTACTAGATATGCTGCTTTGTCTTTTTAAAAATGTAACTTTCAGATCTGGAAAAAATACGCTAAATGAAATAAGCCAATCAGAGAAAGACAAGTACCATATGATTTCAATCATGGGTTGAATTTACTGAACAAACTGAACTAACAGCAAAATAGAGACAGACTCCTAGATAAAGAGTAGGTAGACAGCCCTTGTGAATTGTGGGGGTTTTAGTAAAAAAAGAAAGAAAATAAAAGAGAACTCATGGACATGGATAACAACAGTGTGGTGATTGTTTGGGAGATAGGAGGGTGGGTGGATCTATCTATCATCTATCTATCTATCTATCTAAAAGGCTAATATGCAGTGTCCCCTCTGGAGTTTGTCTGGGAGACCAGGAGTTTGATTGCTTGCTATGATGTGTGCTGACCACCAGGGGGCAATGTGGAACGTAGGAAGGCCCTGGACAGCAGCTGAAAGACTCCAATAGTCCCTGACCACCTGCCAGGCCCAGGGACCCTACCCTTTCAGAATTTTGTACATTGGGCCTTCAGTAAAAATAAAAATGTAACTTTCATTTATCTCTGTTTAGAGATATTATCTAATAAAAGAGTAATATGCAAATTAACTATCACTCCATTGCACCCACAAGCCATGCCCAAAAGCCAATCAGGAGCAAGTATGCAAATAAACCCAACCAAGATGACTAAGGCTACAGAGAGCAGGAGGGAGGCTTGGGTTTCCCTGGCAATGGAGGAAGCCAAGCTTTCTGCCTGCCCATGCCAGCGTAGGCCTCCATTCAAGGCTACAAAGTTTCAATGGTAAAAGATACATAAATCCAAACAGAAATGGCGGCAGCCACGGAGCTGGTGAGAGCAGGCTAGGGTTGCCCCCAGAAATGGAGGAAGCCAAGCTTTCCACACACCCTGGCCGGCCCAGGCCTCCACTTAAGGCTACAAAGTTTCAAAGATAAAAGATACATAAATCCCAACAGAAATAAATGGCTGCCACCACAGAACAAGCAGAAGGCTTGGCTCCATTCCAGGCTATAAAGTTTCGATTGTAGAAGATAGATAAACCCCAGATACCAGGGCCTCCTCTTGGGTCACCAGGGGGTGTGGCTGGCCTGCAAACTACCACAGTCCCCTAGCCCAGACTATCCCACGCCCCAAGGGAACCCCCAACCTGATCTA